TTCTTCTCCCGCTGCAGCCGGCTCAGCTGCTCTTCCAGCTGCGAGAGCGGAGCAGGTTGCACCGCGCCGCATCACCGCAGTGCCCCAGCGCTGCGGCCCAAGCCCCACCGAGCATCCTGCTCCCCCAGAGGCTGGGGACCGCCAAGACACCCGAGCAAGAACCCCCTGACATTGACCCACATGGCCTGGGCTCATCATGTGCAACACTAGCTGGGATGGGTGGGCACGTGCCCGTAGAGAGCAGCCTTACCGCGGCCTTGGCCTTGGAGAGATCGTCGATTTGCAAGTGGAGATCTTCGATCTCCACCTCCATGGACTTGCGGGCTTTGACGGCGGCCGCGCAGGTGAACTCCGACAGCGCCCGGCTCTGCCCCGAGGGCACCGCGGGGACGCAGGGGACATTCCTGGCACCACAGCAGCTCGGGCTGTGAGCTGGCAATTCCCAAACTCAGCCCAGCGCAGCAGGAGAGCAGCAGGATTTGCAGCAAGGGGCTGCAGGACGGCATGGGGCCGTGGTGGGGACACAGGGCTGCCTGGGGCTGCGGGCACCGGGGCTGGACGCGCACCTGGTTCTTGAGCTGCGCGATCTCCCTCTTGCTGGGCGCGTTGTTTTTCAGGTGGTCGAGCATGATCTGCGCGTCGGCCAGCAGCGCCTTGGTCCTCTTCAGGTCCCTGCGCAGGCGCTTCTCCGTCTCAAAGTCCCGTTGGTTGACCTGGGGCGAGGGAGGCCGTGCCAGGAGCCCTGGGTACTCCCAATGGCACGTGGGCACCCCGGCACCCTCCCAGTGCCCATCGAGGGAGGCGTCAGCAAGGGGGTGCTGGAGTGTGGCCCCTACCTGGTCGCTGACAGCGGATAACTTGCTCTCCAGCTCTCGCTTCTCCCTCAGCACCTTCTGCTTGTCTTCATACTCCTCCTCCAGCTGCACCTCCATCTGCTTCAGCTGGGGGCAAACGTCGCAGTGAGGGTCTGGCTGTAGCCAGAGCATCCAGGGACCCCCAAGGGTTGCGGTGCCCTCAGGCAGCGGGAGAAGGACTGAGACTCCAGTTGCCCCATGCGTCCCGCTTCCCCACGACCCAGGTTTGGGACACTGGATGAACCCACGGGCTGCGTGCAAAAACGCTCAGTTGGGCAACCAAAAGCTGCAGAGCCAACGTCGCAGTGAGGGTCTGGCTGTAGCCAGAGCATCCAGGGACCCCCAAGGGTTGCGGTGCCCTCAGGCAGCGGGAGAAGGACTGAGACTCCAGTTGCCCCATGCGTCCCGCTTCCCCACGACCCAGGTTTGGGACACTGGATGAACCCACGGGCTGCGTGCAAAAACGCTCAGTTGGGCAACCAAAAGCTGCAGAGCCCAGCAGGATGTTGTCCCAACGCGAGAGGGACCAGTCCGACCTGCCCAGCCAGCCGGAGCCAGGCAGTGCCCACGTGGGAAGCCGGGAATGCTCGGTGAC